ATGGTGCAGCAGGTCCTTCAGCGCTTCGGCTTCACGTACTCCTCGCCTCAGTCCACTCCTCTGCCTACGGGACACTCCCTCTCAGCTCTGCCTTCGGATGAGTCCGTAGAGCCGAGTGGTCCGTATCCAGAGCTTGTGGGCTGCCTCATGTACCTGATGACCTGCACGCGACCTGACCTTGCATACCCTCTCAGCATCTTAGCACGCTATGTCGCTCCCGGCCGTCACCGGAAGGAGCACATGGATGCAGCTAAGAGAATGTTGCGCTACTTGTGCAGTACGTGGGGCATGGGGCTAGTGCTTGGAGGGCGAGACCGGCCTGTTCTCACTGGGCACTCAGACGCTTCTTGGGCAGACGACCAGGCTACTCAGCGGTCGTCTCAGGGCTACTCCTTCAGTCTTGGCTCTGGTTCTGTTTCTTGGCGTTCTACTCGCTCTTCTTCTATTCTCAGCTCCAGTTGTGAGGTTGAGATCTACGCCACAGCCATGGCGGCCCAGGAGCTACGCTGGCTCACCTACTTGCTGACCGACCTTGGAGAGCAGCCTCGTTCTCCTCCAGTGCTGTACGTCGACAACAAGGCAACCATTGCCTTGTGTGACGAGCACAGACTGGAGCACAGGACGAAGCACATTGCTCTGCGTTACTTTCTAGCTCGAGAGCTACAGCAGCGTGGTCAGCTTCGTCTGCGTTACGTGGCCACTGAGGCCAACACTGCTGATGTGTTCACCAAGGCGCTTCCGCCTGTTGACCATCAGCGTTTTTGCACTCTTCTAGGCCTTGTGCCGACTGGACCTCACTTGCTTACTTCTTGACTTTGTCTGTACTGTGATCACTATATATATATATACCTGCATGTTTACTCTTGCTAGGTTGTGATCATTGTACTTCTTGCTCTATTATAAATCTGCATGTGAACTGGTCTTGTGACCGCTTGCTTGTGCTCGGAATTTGTGTGGAATCCTCGAGATCCACCCTGAGCTTGTTTGCCTTGTTTTACCTTGACTGGTCTTGTGACCCCTAGGTCTGCCCCACTTTGCCTATGGGGGTGTGTCAAACATTATATGTTTATGTGGTTCTAGGCTGTAGTGGGTTACACCTTAGGGGGTACACACACACACACACACACACACACACACACACACACACACACACACACACACACACACACACACACACACACACACACACACACACACACACACACACACACACACACACACACACACACACACACACACACACACACACACACACACACACACACACACACACCACACACACACACACACACACACACACACACACACACACACACACACACACACACACACACACACACACACACACACACACACACACACACACACACACACACACACACACACACACACACACACACACACACACACACACACACACACACACACACACACACACACACACACACACACACACACACACACACACACACACACACACACACACACACACACACACACACACACACACACACACACACACACACACACACACACACACACACACACACACACACACACACACACACACACACACACACACACACACACACACACACACACACACACACACACACACACACACACACACACACACACACACACACACACACACACACACACACACACACACACACACACACACACACACACACACACACACACACACACACACACACACACACACACACACACACACACACACACACACACACACACACACACACACACACACACACACACATACACACCATTTCAGTATTTCCTGTGCACCCACCAATTTTTTAAAATATAAAGATGGCACATGGCACATGGTCTCATTATCTAGCTCGTTTGTTGGCGGGTTCATTTCGAGCATAGAAATATTGGTTTCGAGGAATATAGATCTAGTACAAAGCGTGAAGTCGCATGTACAGAGTACTACCATTTCTCTCTCTCCAACCTCCCGCCAGCGATTCCCATCCCATCCCAGCCTCAGCTTGATTTGAACTGCTGCTGCTGCCCCACAGATCCCCTGAGGCACCCCCGCATGACCGTTTGTTCCTCTTCCCAAATGAATATCGCTGGCCATCCATCTTGATCGCTTAGGAAGTCCTGGCGACCCCTTGAAGTCCCTAGCCGCTTCAGGCAGAAATACTTCGAGTGCCTGTCGTGGCTTGAAGAGGGGGGCATCTGCATGCACCAAGTTACGCGATTTGCGTTCCTCGTTTAGTATTGACCAAAATCTAGTTCTGCCATTGTGTTTGTTCTCCAAATCGCCGATTTCCGGCTTCGTTAACACACATAGTGGTGAGCGTTGTAGAAGGTAAAGAATTCGTCGATCGATTCTTCATGGCGGACGTCAGATCAGCGAGCTCGCAGAAATCCAAGGCGGAAAGCGATGAGATCTCTAGCCTATTCAACATGGAGTCCGTTCCTCTGGAAACAGCTGGCATAGTGGCTGGCGGCCCTCCACCAGATGCGAGCGGAAAGGCTGAAACAGTGGTTCCTCTTCTCCCGGTTAGCAGTGCTCCGAGTAACACCGTGGATCCGAGCACTCCGACGTCTGCCGTCGTTACCATGGCGACTTCTGAAGGCCCGCCAGTTTATAACACTCTTAATGGTAGGTGATGTATCCTACTTAACCACACAAACTTGGTATTTTCGGGACTACGGCGACCGATTGTGCCGGCTGATATGTTTTACGAGTATGAATTCGTTGGGATTTGGAGTTCAGTCGAAAATGCTGAGATGCGGCTTTTGATTGGTTTCTGCAGAACCCGTCATTGTCACCCTGAAACGGGACGTGTGGCGTGTGATACACAATCTCCGGAACGTGGTGTTGCCAATGGGACGAGGCGAAGGAGCCCACAGCTCCATCCGTGACTGGGACTTGTGGGGTCCCTTCTTCTTCATCATCTTCCTCGCCTTCATCCTCTCATCCTCAGCCTCCGAGAACAAGGTACGGGATCTGGTTTGTTCAGGCCTGAGGATAAAAAAAAAAAGATAAACGCCATGTCTTCCGCCGCCCCCTCCCTCTCCCCTTCCCCCTCCCGCTCCCCCTTCCTCAGATAGCTTCCAATTCCATTTCTTAGGTGAAATTAGGATGTAGAATGCGGTCTTTGCGCCAAAATGGTCAGGAAGGATTGTATATTCAAGTAGTGAATCCGCGGTTATGCAATGGGGTGGTAATTTGACAAGAAGGTAACTTGGGGAGTATGGAGAGGTTTGTAGGTACATATTTATGCTTGATAGGTTGTATGAGGAGTGTCCTTTCTTCAGGCGGTCAGGGACTAACATCCACAGAATGCATTTTTCTTGTGACTTGTCTATTTGTTGCAGTCCAAAGTCTTTGCGGTGGTCTTCGGCGTCCTCTCCTCAGGGGCAATTATCCTCACTCTCAATGTTCTCCTTCTGGTATGCTCTTCTCCCATTGTGAATTCTCTTTTGGGTGTTGTGAATTTTCTACGTTCTGTGAAAATTCGTTGCAATCGCTGAAGCCTTTGTGCTCACTGGTCGCATTGCTGCTAGGCACTCCTTAATCCGAGTGTCATGAATCCTGTTCCGTGGGGGTTGCTCCGCAGGGAGGGAGGATCATCTTCTTCCAGAGCCTCAGTGTGCTCGGCTACTGCCTCTTTCCACTTGACATTGGAGCCTTCGTTTGTCTATTTATCTACAGCAAGTGGATTAGATTTGCAGTTGTCGCAGCCACCCTCGTTTGGAGCTCCTCTGCAGCCTACCCATTCGTGTCGGGCGCTGTGCCAGAGCCTAGAAAGTTTCTTGCCGTATACCCAGTGTTCCTCCTGTACATTTCTGTAGCATTCCTTGTTTTAGCAAATGATTAGGATAATGATTGCACTTATGTAGTGGGCAGTTAAATTACATCTGCCTTTTTTTTTGTCCCACACGGGTATCGTCTTTCCATCTACTATAGACAGTTGAGCTCCATTGTCCGTTTGATATTCACTACAGCTGTTTCTCGTGGTATCTTTCTTCCATGCAAAACGCACACTATTTGTCGCACTTGTTGTGAGTTCCCGCCTTTACCGGGTATTACGAAATGGCTTCCCCAACCAACATTTTTGTCTATGAGGCTTTCTTTAGAACTCCAACACGATAGATGCATGCTTGACGCATGGCGAGTTCAGCGCCGTCAGTTGCTTCTTCTCTTGTCGCTTCAGAAAGGCCTTCGCGCCCACTTCGCCGATTCCACACTAACGGGCTTCGCGGAATCGGGTGAGGATGCAGCACGATCATCACGAGAAGGCGTCGAGCCGCCAGCTGTCCACCTGGAACCCAGACCACACTGGCGGAGGAGCCAGCTCGACAGACTCTCGCTGCATGCGCTCTTCGCTGGGAGCTGTAGTCTTACCAACAGTGTGTTTTGAGGCATGGAATGCGTTCCTGGCAGAGCCCTGCAGAGCCCGGCAGAGCCCTGCAGAGCCTCACAGAGCCTAGCAGGGCGCAGGAGAGGAGCGCGATGGTGTCGATCGACAGCGCGCCGCATCGGCGTTCGTGGTCCTGGGTGCGCGTGCGTCGTCGGGTGGTGGTCCCACTCCCGCACGAGACGGCCAGCCAGCCCACTGGGCCACGGTGTGGCGCAATTCCATTTCTTCAGTGACTTGTCGCCGGCTCTGGTCATCGCCCGACGCTGCAGCAACCCCAGAAGTGCTTGCTACCTAGGTGTGAATCAGCAGGGCTGTTTACAGAGCGAGGTAGCGTTTTCCGGTGGCGTGCTTCACAAGCGAGTCCCGCTGGACGAGCAGACATCGATTTTTCTCTCTCGGTCCTGCTATCCGCAGCTTCCGAATCAGAGTTTCACTTTTCGTAACGCTTCAGGGTTCGACTACTTTCAGTTTGTTGCTCGTTTTTTAGTCTCTCGTAAGGGGGGTGACGGGAAGCTACTGATTCTGAGCGGAAGGGAGTGCGAAGAAGCCAGCAGCATGCCGACGCTTCTTGAGGATGCCGCGTACCTCGCCAAGATGGTGCGCTGCTGTGCCCGCTTCCGCTGCTGTGCCCCTCTCTCGCCAATTGAATTATGCCCTGTTCCGCTGCTCTCGTTGGTTTTTTGATTGACTTGATTTGTGCATGTTTCTTCTACGCTGAATACTTAGTCCATGTTTTCTTGTCTCTCTGCAGTTCGCGTCACTGGTCGCGATTGGTTCAGCTGCCGTCTTCTCTCTGCCGTTTCTCCTGCCCACTGCCTTCGTGTTCTCGCCTCTCGTAGGGGTGATTGCTGCGTACGGCTATCTCAAGGTATGACTGTCAGCAGTTGGAGCTGTTGTTAATCAATATAGTCAATCACAGGCATGTCGATATCATGACAGCTCTGATATGATGTAAATGGCGGCATGCAGCTTCAGTTCGGCACTGACCATCTCAGCACCACTCTACCTTTCTCTGTACCGCTCTCCACCACTCTCTCATCCCTCTGCGCAGTCCCGCTCGCCACAGCAGAAGCTGCTGCAGGGCCCCAGCAGCAGCGCGGGCAGAAGGCCGTGGCAGCCGTCCCCAGGCGTGCCAGGGAGGCACCTCCAGGAGAAACAAGCCGCTCTCCTACCACAGCCTGCCAGCACCAGCATGGACGTGCAACGGATTCCCCGCGTGACACGTGCAAGCGAGACAGCAGCAGGCGGGGAAAGGAACGAGGAAAGTGGACCGGGCAGCAGGGCTGGTGGATTCGGAGAGACTCAGGCAAGGGAAAGGACCAACCTGGATGCTGCCCGCCGATTCCCCCCTCCTCAACTTGCCTATCCGCTTCCTGCCCCTTTTCAAGCTGCCCCTCCTCAGGCTGCCCCTCCTCAGGCTGCCCCTTCTCAGGCTGCCCCTCCTCAGGCTGCCCCTCCTCAAGCTGCCCCTCAACTTGCCGCTCCTCATGTGGCTCCTACTCCCCCTGCTGGCATTCGAGCTCGTCCCTCAAGCCCGGAGTCTGTGCATGTAGCGGGGTATCCTAAAGCGAGGGCAGTGGCTGGGCTGGGCAGCTTGGAAGGACCTGCAGAGGCTGTGAGGCCGACGGTGAGGATGAGGGTTCAGGCGATTGACTCTGCTGGGGCTGAGGAGGAGCTGGCAGGAGGGAGAGGGACAAGGGTGGGTGGATTAGAAGGGGTGGAGGAACAGCGGCAGGAGAGGGCGGAGGAGGAGGGAGAAGAGGAAGAGGAAGAGGGGCCAACACTGGTGCTTCATCACATTCCGAAGGTGAGTCGTTCCTTGAAAAAACATCATGGAGGTGCCTCTTTTCTGTTGCTGTGTGCCTGGCGTTTTTCAAGTTGGGATATGCCCGTTTACGAGTGTGTGTTTCAATGCTATTACTTCAAGTCTTGCTGATTCCAGCCTTGTTCCCGTGGTGTCCTTGTGTGCAGGAGTTGACTGGCGCCGCACGTGTCCGTGGGGTCGAAGCAGGCAAGACAGGAGAGATAGGCGGGGCAGAAGAGGCAGGAAAGACAGGTGCGACAGGTGGTGCGGGAGGTGAAGTGCCCGAGGAGGCGGCAGCAGCAGGCGTGGCAGGGCAGGAGGGAGGCAAACCCGAGGCAGAGGTGGAGGAGAAGCGTGTGGTGGATGTGCAGGGTGGGGAGGGATCAGAGGAGGATCAGTTGTTGATGGAGAAGGAAGTGCACGAGGAGGGGGTGCGGGTTGCCAGTGAAATAAAAAAGCTTGAGAAGGTGCTAGCTGGACGCACAATCCAGAGCCCTGGGTCTCCCCGGGAGGAGGCTGAGCTGCTGTGTGGTCTTCTGGGGGTGACCCCCCCTCCTCCACTGTCCCCTCAGCCAAGGTTTCCCAGGCAGGCACGTGCGTCGAGGAAGCAGACGGTAGAAGGGCAGCTGTGGGAAGTGCGCCGTGCCAGCCAGCTGGTGGAAGTAACCAAGGAAGAGCTTGGTGTTGCATGAGGCAAGGTTGATTGGAGGCATTTGTGTTTTGATGGTTACAGTTGTTTGGTGGGTTGTGAGAAAATTATAATTTTTAAAAGTGTAACACTTTTTCAAATTTCGTATTGTGAAAGCGAGGACGTGGCCAGCAAAGCAAAGGTAGCGGCTCGACGCTACTCACCCCTCTTTTGCCTACAAAAGAGGGACGTGGGTTCAGTCGCCTTCACCCACGTTCTTCATTTCCAACTTTTCTAGTTTACTTTCCTAGTTCTCGTTCATCCTGGCGAAGACGCAATCTCTCCCGAGGTTCAAGTCCCCGTCGACCCTTCTCACAGACATTCTCCAACACAACCTGGCGAATATGGCTCCCGCCAACACTGTACTTAATCGAGAGGCGGAAAAGACCAACAACCCCGGAAACGCTTCGGAGCACGCGAACGCGCCCGGGGCAACCGACCGCCGCGGAAAACGCCCTGCCGAAGACAATTTCGGCGAGGGCACTTCAGGAGTCGAAGTGTTGCTCGGGAGCAACTCTCGAGCCCCCTCCGAAGAAGCACGCGCGGCTGTGAAACAGTCGCGCGTGCCTCCTGCTGACGAGCGTGTGGCCGCCAGGCAGCCGCGCGCGCCAGTCAAGTCAACGCCGGCTGACGCGGACGGCGACGCTGGTCAGCCGGGGCCCACCCTGCAGAAGCGACAGAAGGCAGCGACCCCAGCAGAAGCCGCCCCAGTCAACCCCCTCGCGTCCCTCACTGCGCAGCAGATGCAGGCACTGCTTTCGATGTTACAGCAGCAAGCCCCAGTAACAATCGCAACTTCTTCCGACTATAATTCTGCACCTGCAAAAATCGAAAATCAGAAAGAAGTCAACGCTCCCCGCGCAAACAAGGCTGCTCGCGTCAACGAGACCACTGCCGCACCTCTTCCCGCTCCCGTACCGGCACCAATCGCCGCTCAAGCCGACAGCGACGACTCAGACAACGATGATGGTGAGGCCCCCAATAACATCACCCGTCGTCGCGTTATTGCACCAGCACCTTCTCTTCCACCCCTCAACCCCACACCCGCACCTACCACCTTCATGCGCAAGGGCGTGCGCGATCAGGCGGAGGTTTTCTCTGCTATCCAGGCACACCTGAAGCACGTCAATTTCAAGCTCCAGCACGGCGACATCGAAAGCGCACTCGCCAACGTTGCGGAAATCGAAACGCTCATCCACAAGCGCTTCGAAGCCCTCTTGGTGGCGGACGAGGCGGGGTTCGAGGCTGCCGATCGTTTTCAGCTACACCAGTCCAAGAGCGTGTTAACCTCCCGCTCTTACAAGCTCGCCGTTGCGGATGTGGCGGCTCTCAAGCGTGCACGCGCCGGCTACACTCGCGGTAATCGCATGCCTACCCGAGATGGCGACACGGAAGGCAAGGGCATGCCTCCCGCAAGCTGCCACGAGCCCCGCTTCAAAGGGGTGTGCTTCCGATGCGGCCAGCCCGGCCATATGGCAAATGCTTGCCCTATGGGAGGGCGGGGCGCTCAAGGCCCCTCACCCGTCGTGTGAGGAGGCACACGGGGCGGAGCCCCTTGCCACTATGCCGGGGGGCGTAGGTGGAGCACCGAGGGTGCATGGCTGGTAGCTAGCAGGGAGTATGGGCTGGAGGCCTTAGAAATCCCTAGCCATAAGGGTAGCTATGGGGGCAGTACATGCTATGTACCCATGTGTGGTAATAAAAGTTTGCCTCTGGTTTTCAAAAAAAAAAAAACACCCACACATGCAACCAAACAAAGTGGGAGAGAAGGAAGTAAAGCCAAGGCAGCCATTCCAGCCCAAGCGCCCCCCTGACTTGAAGGGAAGAGTACGAAGGAAAGAGGAAGAAAACGAGATGGAAGGAAAACGTGCGAATACGGGGCAGAGTTCGAGAAGAAGAGCAAATGGAAAGATCGGAAGAGGAGTGAGCAAGAGAACGAGAGGGCGAGCGAGAGAGAGAGAGAACGCAAGGAAGAGAAAGGGAGAGAGAGAAAGAGAGAGAGAGAGGGAGAGGGAGGGAAAGAGAGCGAGAGAGAGCGAGAGAGAGCAAGAGCGAGAGAGAGAGAGCGAGAGCGAGAGAGTGAGAGCGAGAGAGAGTGTGTGTGTGTGAGAGAGAGAGAGAGAGAGAGAGAGAGAGAGAGAGAGAGAGAGAGAGAGAGAGAAAGAGAGTGAGAGCAAGAAACATGGAGAAAGGAAGACTAGAGGAGGGAGGATACAAGGAGAGACGGAAGGCGTAGCACCGAGTATGCATAAGCCCCCGGGCTGGTCCTATGGGCAAAGGCTAATCACCCAATACACCACACCCCGGTTGCCCCACGTGCAGTAGCGGACGACAAGTGGCGAGAGGCGGAATGGGACCCATACGAGAACGCGGTCACAGATGACACAGTGAAGGTCATGCGCAACCGATTGCGTAACCAACTGCATTGGTGGATATCGTGGTGCGACAGCAGATTTATCATCTCTATTATTGCCAGGGGATATTGGCTGCCTTGGAAAACTACAGAACCGCCACCCTTCGAAACCACAAACCACGCGGGTGTTCATGCACACACCACGTTCACTCGTGAGGCCATTCGCGACTTAATCACATCGGGCGCGGCAACCAAGGTCGCCTCGCGGACTGCGCTCTCGTGCGTGAGCCCACTCAACGTGGTAGAACAACGCGACAAATGTCGCCTCATCCTCGACCTACGCAAGGTCAACCAACACCTCCAAGTCACTAAATTCAAATACGAGGGCCTGAATCGCGTTTCGGAGATCATTCGACGCAACGACTGGCTGTTCACCATTGACCTAAAATCGGGCTACCACCATGTCGAGATGCACCCTTCGTGCTGGAAGTTCCTAGGCTTCCAATTCAAAGGCGAGTTCTACTGCTTCCGAGCCTTGCCGTTTGGACTGGCGACAGCACCTTTCGTCTTCACCCAGTTGATCAAGCAATTGGCCAAACGCTGGCGGGCGCGGGGCGTGCGCGTAGTCCCATTTGTGGACGACCTGCTATTCCTCTGCGACTCGGCGGAGCACGCACGCAAGACATGCACAGAGGTTCTCCGAGACCTGGGGGCGGCAGGTTTCGTGATCAATGAAAAGAAATCACGCCTCCAGCCGGCCCATCAAACACGATTTTTGGGGATGGAGCTGGACACGACATGCGGCATGTTTAGCATCGGCTCCGATCGGCGAGCGCAGTTCCTCGACAAGCTGCACACACTCATCTCCAAGGGGCAACGCGGCCAGCAAGTCCCAATTCGGGAAGTTGCTCGTATCACCGGAATGTTGAGCTCTATGTCCCTCGCATTGGGCACAACAGCACGCGCATTCAGCCACGAGCTGCTACAATTGATCGAGACAGCGGAATCCTGGAACTCAAGGATCGGGCTGACACGGGCCGCCATCGAGGAGCTAATCTTCTGGCAACTGCACTTCGACCAGTTTAACGGTGCCCCATTTCACATAAGCCATCAATTCGATGCTGTGATCCACGTCGACGCGAGCGCTCACAGCTGGGGCGCCACCCTCACCAAGTTTACCGACGCGTCGTACGAAGCAAGCGCCAGCATGCCGAGCGAGCTCCTCCCAACCTCAAGCACTCAAAGGGAGCTCGAGGGTGTCCTCTGGGCGCTACAGACATTTGCGTCCCATCTCACAGGCGGCCACGTTTTGGTTCGCGTGGACAACCAAGGAGTCATGTTTATCTTGCGCAAAGGGGGGTCCAGTCAACCTCGGCTCACACTGACTTGTCAAGCAGTCATACAGTTTTGCCTCAAGAACCATACACGTCTGGCAATCGAATGGATCCCAAGGGAGCTCAACGCCCACGCGGACGAACTGTCAAAACTCCAAGACCATGACGACTACTCGCTGCACATGCCATGGTTTCGCCTACTGGAACGTCGATGGGGCCCCCATACGATCGACCTTTTCGCGAACATTAGCAACAGGAGGCTGCAACGATTCTGCTCCAAGATACCGCACCCAAGTGCCACAGCAATTGACGCGTTCTCGATCTCGTGGAAAGGCGAGCGGTGCTTCACCTTTCCGCCCCCCGTCTTGATCCCAGCCACACTCTCTCACGCCAGGCGCACACAAGCCGAGTTGACACTCGTCGTCCCCAAGTGGCCGGGAGCAGCATGGTGGCCGTTGCTACAACCCTCCCCAGAGACATGGGCCCCAGAAGTGATCGCATGCTTGCCACTCGCTCAAGGCAGCCAGTGCCTTCGACCTGGTTCGCATGCAACAGCATTTTCCGGACTAGGCCTACCCCATAGCCCAATAATTGCCTTGCATGTAAAATATCATACGTGACTAATATTCGAGTGTTAATTCTTTCAGGATTATTGACCCAGCTTCAAAACCAACTGTTACAAGTTATAAATGATGTTCGCGCACCGTCTACGATCGAGACATACCAGCCTTACTGGCTCAAATTTCGCAACTTTTGCACCCGAGTCAAGCTAGCTTTTCTGCCAGCGACGGACCTCACGCTGGCACTCTACCTAGTCCATGCGTTGAACAACAAGGCAACAACGTCAGCGATCAACCTCACATGCTCTGCCGTAGCCTTCGCCCATCGAATGACCGGAGAGGCATCCCCAACGAACGGCCCGTTCACGCTGCAAGTACGAGAGTTCGCTAAGCGACATGGCCTACGCCCAACAAGGACCAAGGAACCCGTGTCACTACATCAAGTGCACAACATGGCACGACCATTCCTGGAATCAACAGTGCCTGCGGAATATCAGAAAGGCTTGATACCTCTCTTGATGTTCGCGGCATTCCTGCGCTACTACGACCTGATCTCCCTCCAATGGAACGACATTCAGTTCGAAGGGGAGGCAATGTGGCTACTGATTCCCTACTCTAAGACGGACCAAGAAGGCAAGGGCACGTGGATCCCGGTCGCAACGTCAGCAGGGCCCTACTGCGCAGTGAGATGCACACGGGAGTTCATTCGCATCGCAGGCCTTGCAAACATGCCTCACGGGCCACTGATTCGGGTTTT